CTGAATATGATGTGTTATAGCATCCATCACCAGGGCAAATAGGAAAGGGCTGAACGCAGACCCGCGTCGTGTCTAGTCTTGAAGTTATACAATTTTGTATTTTGAACCTGACGCAGTTAAAATCAGTACACATACATATTCTGAACAATATGAATAATATCATTTGGCGTGTACAACAACAACAACAACCCAGTATAATCCCACAAGTGGGGTTGAACAATATGAATAATAGCATTTGGCGTGTGTTAATCAAAATATCACATGAATAAAATCCTCTTCTCAATTAGCACTTTTCCCTAGCTCACAAGGATTCATTGGGCCCCTATATTTCACTGTCGCGTTGACTAGGATTCTGGCTTTTTAAAGAAAATTGTGATAAGCTACTGTGCTTCCAACTAATTTGTATTTTGAGTAAAAAATTCTCAGGATTATGGTCTTTGTATTTCTGATATTCAAATTTCTAACTTTACTTGCACTTTCCATCTTAATTAGGCATCTCAAATATCAAAAGGTGGCTCCTCGCAATCACCACGGAAGTCCCTCGATGGTCGTTCTCCACCAGGTCCCTGGGACGGCTTAATTGAGAGCCTAAATGGGCTTCTCGGTACACTGAAAGAAAATTATGTATGTTTTTCATTATTGGAAATAGTGTGATGTGCTAATATTATTATAAACTGATGAGTGGACTTATATGAATATTTTGTTTCAGGTTCATCCAGTTTTTGTCCAGAAAATTCTAAACCAGATTTTTTCGTACATAAATGTTCAGCTTTTCAATAGGTAACTTTTTTCCTATCTCATAGCAGAAAGATTGGCCAGAAATTCATGGACACACCACTTACCATATTATTTAATCCTCATTGCAGCCTTCTCCTTAATAAAGAGTGCTGTTCATTCAGCAACGGGGAGTATGTAAAAGCTGGATTGCAAGAACTAGAACTTTGGTGTGGCAATGTTAAAGAAGAGGTAATCTGTCATTGGTACCCTAAGGGTACATTATTAGTAGATGTTAGATATCATGAACTGTATTTACATATCTGTAATTTTATACTTCTTGAGGTTTTAACTCCTGGTAACCCTTCTTTCTTCGCAGTATGTTGGTTCTTCTTGGGATGAACTAAAGCATGTGAGGCAGGCAGTAGGATTTTTGGTATGTTTCTCCTCTCTGAATGGGCAAATTTTGATCAATCAGATGTTCTTTTTCTCCTAAATTTTTTACTCGTAGGTAATAGAGGCCTTCTATCCGGTTTACGTCCTAGTATGAATTTGCAGAAGTGTTTCCTGTTACTTGGAAGTGACACCATGTTTTTGGAAATTTATCTCCAAATTTGAGATAATGACCTTAAATGTACCATCTATTTTGCCCTGTCTAAATAGCTTGTTTTCAGGTTATTAATCAGAAGTCGAGACTTTCATCTGAAGATCTAACAACTGATCTCTGCCCCGTAAGTTCATCTTTATAGTCTTCTTAATTGTAGATTTCAAATATTGTTATTTGTTAATACATGGCAGTTCCAGGCTGCCACATGTGGCAGTAAAAATTTCTTAGTTAGTTGTTTAAGTGCTAGCACGGGAAGCATACTATTGGACAAGTTATGAATTGTATACCGATTGTTAAGGGCTTAAATGAATTATTCGCAGTGTTAAGATGGATGTTTTGAAGTTAATCTTTATGTTATGATATGAGTCCTTGGCATTCATGTCGTAATCATTTTAACACCTTGCACTGAGTGTCTTTTTTTTGTGGGATTATCTTTTCAGATTCTGAGTAGTCAACAGTTGTATCGAATATGCACGCTTTACTGGGATGAGGATTTCAATACTCAAGGTGTATCCCCAGATGTAAGTCTACCTTTCTCTCCTTCTGCTTATATTTTATTTTACTAAATCTCTTTTCTTAGTTTTGGGTGCTTTTGGGGCTGGGGGTGAGTACTAATTAGGTATATGAAATGTGCTCCTTAGAGACGATTTGCTAGTCAACAACGCTCATCAATACATGATATCAGTTACATCCTCAACTTCTTGTTTTTGGATTACTTTTCTTCTATCTGCGAAGTTAAACCACCTTAGCTTTGGTGATTCTCTCTCAATGACAAAGCTTAAATCAACTTTTCTGCACTTGGTTCCTAAACCATATTGCTCGGAACAGGTCATTTCCAGCTTTAAGGATCAAGCAAAAGAAGACGGGAATGACGTAGACAAAGCAAAGGAGGCAGATAATAACTTTATATTGGATGATAATTCCAGGTAGCTTATAAATTCCATTTTGCTGTCAAAATGAACATAGATCATGTTCTATCATTCATCTATTTGCTTCCAATGCAGCATCCCCATCTCTGTTGAGGAGATTAACAGTTCCCTCAAGGATGTTGATTTTACCGGTGTAAAACCTGCAAAAGAACTGCTTGAACATCCAGCCTTCCAATTTTTATGCGAATAAGGCTAACATTTCTCTAGCACCAATTGCATGTTTGTTGGAAGGACGTCATCCAAGTTAGCACGTCATGAATATCACTATTGTACATCCACCAACCGATTCTTTTGTCCCTCCGGTAGTTGTCTCTTCATATTATAAATTCCAAAGCCCCTTGTAAAGTTGCTCTAAGGTAGTCTCTTGTAAAATTGTAGGTCTAGTTTAGATAGGAGAAGGGGCAAGGATGAAGTTTTCCAACCTAGAGCTTGTTCCAGTTAGTCTTTGTTCTTCTTATTGTCTCATTTTTGTACACTTTTATAGTTGCCATTAGTTAGATTCTTTGTAACAAGGACTAATTGGAGTACTATATTGTAAGAGCAAATGGCCAATTTAGTGCCCCCTAAAGGTGTCCCTTTGTCTAAAGGATTTTTAAATTTGATTCATGTATATCCTTCTTCAGCAGACATTGAAATGGAATCCTATCTCCAATTTTTTATGTATCAGAAATCGCAAATTCAGCAGGATGAACATGTCTTTGTAAATGACCTGCATTTACTATTTCCTGTGGCTGTGATCCATTTTAATGGTTCTTGTTCCAAAATCTTGCAACAGCTGCAGTAACAGCAGTAAAGATTTCATGTAAAAAGAGAAAACTCATTACTTGGTAGAGTATAGTCTTTTCTCAACTTGAGTCAATCAAAGGAATACCATAAACTTACATTCAAAGAGTACAAAGCGNAGTCTCATTCATCTAGAGGAGGTAGCATTGTCTTCTAGTTTGAGTGCATGCCGACAAGTTCTTTCCATAGCTCGAACTTGTCCCTTGGTACCACCTTGGTCAGCATATCTACGGGATTCTCACTTGTAGAAATCTTCAGACTTTTAGAGATTCATCATCTACCATTTCTCGAATCCAATGATATCTCACATCAATGTGTTTGGTCCTTGCATGGTACATAGAGTTCTTGCTAAGGTCTATTGCACTTTGACTGTCACAATAGACGACATACTCCTTCTGATGCAATCCAAGCTCTTGAAGGAATCGCTTGAGCCATATCATCTCCTTGCCAGTTTCTGTAGCGGCAATGTACTCTGCTTCAGTTGTTGAAAGTGCAACACACTTCTGCAACTTAGACTGCCATGATGTAGCTCCCCCTAAAAATGTAAACAAATATCCAGTAGTGGATTTTCTATTGTCAATGTCACCTGCCATATCAGCATCTGTATAGCCCTTCAAGATTGGATCAGATCCTCCAAAGCACAAACAATCTCCCGTGGTACCTCTCAGGTACCTGAATATCCACTTGACTGCTTCCCAATGTTCCTTTCCAGGATTTTCAAGAAACCTGCTGACAACACCAACTGCGTGAGCAATATTAGGTCTAGTACATACCATTGCATACATCAAGCTTCCGACTGCTGAAGAATAAGGAACTCTAGCCATGTTCCCTTTCTCTTCCACTGTTGTAGGACACATCTTTTTGCTCGACTTTAGATGACTAGCAAGAGGTGTCCTGACTGGCTTAGCATTTTTCATGTTGAAGCATTCTAGTACACGTTCAATGTACTTCTCCTGAGATAGCCATAACTTTCTACTTGTTCTCTCTCGAACTATCTTCATCCCTAGAATTTGTTGTGCTGGGCCCAAGTCCTTCATATCAAATGACTTGGACAGATCTCCTTTCAACTTTGCTATCAACCCCTTGTCTTTTCCTACAATTAACATGTCATCCACATACAACAACAATATAATAAAGTTATTCTCAGAAAATCTTTTGAAGTATACACATGGATCAGAATAGGTCTTTAGGTATGTTTGACTTTTCATGAATGAGTCAAACTTCATGTACCACTGCCTTGGTGCATGCTTCAATCCATAAAGACTCTTATTCAATTTGCACACCATGTGTTTCTTTACAACTACTTCAAATCCTTCTGGCTGCACCATATAAATCTCCTCTTCCAAATCTCCATGAAGAAATGCAGTTTTCACATCCAACTGCTCCACTTCAAGATCTAGGTTAGCTGCTAACCTCAAAATTGTTCGAATAGAAGTCATTTTGACAACAGGTGAGAAAATTTCGTCAAAATCAATACCTTTCTTTTGTTCGAAGCCTTTAACCACCAATCGAGCTTTGTATCTGACCAGCTTGCCATTTCCATCTTTCTTGAGTTTAAAGACCCATTTGTATTTGAGTGATCTTTTACCCTTTGGAAGTTCAACCAGCTTGTAAGTGCCATTTTTTCGTAGAGATTCCATCTCTTCTTGCATAGCTTTCATCCACTGCTTCTTTTCTGGATGGGACAACACCTCCTTAAGACTTTCTGGCTCCCCCTCATCACTGATGAGGACACACTCTGTGGAAGAGTACCTGCATGACTCTACCCTTGGCCTCTCTGATCTCCTCAGAGGTTGAGGTTGTTCTTCTCCCTGAGTGGGGTGCTCCACTTCCTCGACACCTTTATCAAGTTGTTTTCCCTGCTCAATAACTTCACCAGGTTGCTCCCCCTGCTCGGCAACCTCATCGGTCGTACTTTTTGCATTTGTGGGATTGTTAGAAGTAGAAGGAATAGTAAAGAGGTTAGGAATTATACCATTCTTCGCATTTTCTAACATATCGGTAGCAGTTCCACCTTCACTTTCTCGGAAGACTACATCTCTGCTTCTGATGACCTTCTTCTTTACAAGATCCCACAATCTGTACCCGAACTCTTCATCTCCATATCCGATAAATATGCAGGGAACAGATTTATCATTCAGCTTTATTCTCTGCTCTTTTGGTACATGTGCAAAAGCTCTACAACCGAACACCTTCAGATGCGAGTAGGACGCCTCCTTGTTGGTCCAAACTCTCTCTAGGATGTCAAACGCCAACGGAACTGATGGAATCCTATTGATCAGGTAACAGGTCGTCTGAACTGCTTCACCCCAGAATGACTTAGGCAGTTTAGCCATTCTAAGCATGCTTCTCACCTTCTCCACAATTGTACGGTTCATCCTCTCGGCTATGCCATTGTGCTGCGGGGTTCCAGGAACTGTCTTTTCATGTATGATCCCATGACTTGAACAATACTCTTCAAATTCC